GCCGGTACCCCATTTCCTTCTGAAGCCATTTCAATATCGCCTCCGGCTGAGCCGCAGAGCTCTGCGCCGATCCCTGCATCCTTCCGTACAAAACCTAGACTCTCACGTCTCCACAAAGAACAAACGTTTCGAGAACTAAATCACCATCTGCAGCGAACATTCAAAACCCTAATTCGTGCAGTGGTGAACTGAAATTGGAGCTAAATCACTTCAAACGCCTCACACTGACACCGCTATGAGCGTCGGGAGAGTGCGAAACGGAGCGGCTTGAGGGCAATGGAGGTCTCCGCGATGGTTTTTGAGAATTAGGGTTTGGAATTTGGGGGAAAATGTTGGAGAGGGAGAAGTAGATCTGAGACGTCGCCGGCGAAGAGCTATCGGTTCAACGGCAATTTGATGTATTTAAACAACCGAAACGAGTAGTGTAAATGTTGTTTGATTCAAATTAAAATTTACGACAAGGCGTTTGGTGGCCCTCCCAATTTTTTAACCTTTTTAATTTAATTATTCAATTTAATGCTTCACACGACATATGGTGATGTGTGATTTTGACTTTCAACGATATTTCTTACTTTTCATACATTTTCTGTTAACTTTTGCTATTTTTTAATTTATTTAATTCGTTTTTTTATATTTTCAAGTTATTTGATTTGATAGTTGAAAATTGAGAGAAGTGTTTAGAAAAAAAAATGTATGTGAATAGCATCATCCTTTTAAATACACACTTTTTGTTTTTGTTTTGGACTGCGTTATTGGTGTTTTAGCGTTAAATTTAATTTCCACAATTATTTATTTATTTTGTTTTTAATATTAGCTATTCATTTTCTATACCACTTAACGCAATGTAATACATCTTATCGAAGAAAAACTATGCATTTTAATCATTGAATGTGAAATTTTTATCTCTCAAAATAATTAATTTCTTTATTTTATAGAAGAGGGAACTTAAACTTAAAACCTCAACGGCAAAAGTAAATATTCTCAACAAAAAATTTCTTACTACTAAACTGGAAAACAAACAAAAGTTTGAAAATCACTGCAATTAAGTGACAAGAGATAAATATGAGTATGCACGGAATTCTCAAATGCGTGAGTGAGGAATTCTCAACCAAAAGCTCCTTACTACTAACCCCAAAAAATAATAAAAAATTTGAATTTGGTGAGTGGTGTTTGTCAAGATAAATATGATATAATACTAAGATACTAATTGTAGGAAGAATGGCATAGAGTGCCGACACTTTGATGAGGAGCAAATTGCTAATCTCTTTATTATATTTTTCATATGATAATGAAAACAGAAGGTCGAACTCAATACCTCGAGTGCAAGCGTGTTTATATTATATTTAGGGTATCCGTATTTAAATCTCGTAAAAATACTTGGAGGACTTAAATATAATTATGTAATGAAGAAAGGGGTAAATATGTAATAAGTGAGGAGCCCTTATTCTATAAAAGAACTCATCACCCTCACAATTAGGGAAGGTCATTGCTTAAGCCTTCTCACCCCTCTCACATCCCCTCTCATATTCAGAGGTTCTTTCCCTCACCTCGAAGATAAATACAATAATCAGTGTAGACGTAGCCCAAACCTTGGGGTGAACCACGATACATCTTGTGTTATTTACTTTCTTGTAGATTCACGGTCTGGTTTACGTTGTTCCAAGACCTCCGGTTTTGTGCATCAACATTTGACACCGTCTGTGGGAATCGACACAAAAACTATGTCGGTTCTTTTTCATTTTTTTCACCTCCACCGTGAATCTGCAAAATCACAAAAACCTAGAAACAAAAAAAAAATCCAAATCTCAAACACTGAAAAAAGCTTTACAATGAGAAACCTATCGATCCTAAGGGTTCTCTCTCAGCTGACGCTTTCTGGGGAGATCATCCATGGAGCTTTTAAACGCTTACTAGCATGTTCGCCCTGAACTTCGTGAAGGGCATACTCCAGTTTCTATTCTTCGTGCACTACATCATAATGATCCAGACACCTTTCGAGTGCGTCATCTACTGCAGCTTGCTCCTCGACTTTACTCTTATCGGGTTCTTGCTAGTCCTTGATTTCGTTCTACATCAACTTCACAGACAAACGAAATTGATGGGGGAACTACATCGTACTCTCATTGGGTTCTCTCTCTAAAACTCTCTGGGACTCCCTCTATCTCTAAATCCTCACGAGCAATGGCTCTTCCCCATATGCTGACCGAGACAGCGACAATCAAGATGAGGCCGGAGGTCGACACCGATGACGCGATGAAGAGCCTAGCGGGGAGGTTGACGGAGCAAATGTGAGTCCTGAACTCCTCGTACTCGCAATTAGGGGAGGCCATTACTTAAGCCTTCTCACCTCTCTCACATCCCCTCTCATATTTAGAGGTTATTTCCCTCACCTCTCAGATAAATACAATAATCAATGTGGACATAGCCCAAACCTTGTGGTGAACCACGATACATCTTGTGTTATTTACTTTCTTGCAGATTCACGGTCGGATTTACGTTTTTCCAAAACCTCCGATTTTGTGCATCAACAAGGTGCATGTTTCTTATTTGGAATGGAAAATTCGTGAATTAGAAAATAAAAAATAACGAATATAGTGTGAGAATGAGATCAACTATTTTTTATGTTCAAACCTATTTCCTAATTTTTCAGGTATTAGGTTGCAAATGGTAGTGTGAGAAATACGTATTTTGAGATTTCATATGTCTCATGTGTGAGAAATTAGGAATCAGAATAATTTCAATCATTTACTTATAAAGAATGAGTATGAGAGAGAAAAGAATGATTCTAACTCTTAACTTCTCACGTTTACTAGCATATAAGAAAGAAAAAAAAAAAGCAAGTCTTAATCAAATGCCTTCAAAAAACAAGAATTGAACAACAAAGGAAGTGGTTAGTCCAATTTTCATTTTGTACTTCATCGTTTTTAAGTTCCCTTGGTATGTTTTGGGTGAAGAATTTTCAAATTCTTAGGGACTTATATATAGTGACGAAGAAATAAACCACAAAAAGTTTGATAGGAAAGATTATAAATGGTCACTGAACATTACAAAATGTAAGATATACGGATCTGCAAATGACTACTTGAAATAAATCACTTGCAAATCTCTATCAAATTTTTCCTATTTCAGTGATTAATTTTGTTCCAAATTCTCTTATCTAACCTTTTGTGATCAATTTTTCTTAATTTGATCTAAAGACCTTGTAATTTGGTGCTCCTTACCTAGACAAACCCTATGTTCTTACCTTGTCAACTTTTTTTGTAAATGATAAGTAAACATGCCATTGGTAAATAAAAAAAATAAAAAAGATAAATAAGCAAGGATAATGCTATTCAGTATTCACACACTCAATTTTACTTTTTATACGCTCATGCTACTTTGTCACAACAATTGATATTTTTTATGTTATTTGATTTAATAGCTGAAAATTAATAAAAGGGTAAATTACATAGTAGCCCCTCAGGTTTGAGGTCTATTGCAATCTTATACAACATCTTTAAAACATTTCACTTTCATACCTCAAGTACTATTTTATTTCAATTTCATACAACCGTTACATTTTCCATCCATGAATCTGTTAAATGCTGACGTGGCTGCCACATATATATCACGTGGCTGCCAAATGTCTGTCACGTGGCAAATAAATTAATTTTTTAATTTTTTTTAAAAACTTGTCTGCCACATATCTTTTTTTCTTTTTTTTCTTCTTCTTCTTCCTCCTCCTCCTCCTCTTTCTTTTTCTCTTCTTCTTCTTCCTCCTTCTTCTTTTGGGTTCGGTCCCTTTTTTTTTTTTTTCTTCTTCTTCTTCTTCTTCCTCCTTCTTCTTCTGGGTTGCAGGGGGTTCGATCCTTTTTTTTTTTCTTCTTCTTCTTCTTCCTCCTCCTCCTCTTTCTTCTTCTCTTCTTCTTCTTCCTCCTTCTTCTTCTGGGTTGCAGGGGGTTCGGTCCTTTTTTTTTTCTTCTTCTTCTTCCTCCTCATCCTCTTTCTTCTTCTCTTCTTCTTCTTCCTCCTCCTTCTTCTGGGTTGTAGGGGTTCGGTCCCTTTTTTTTTTTTCTTCTTCTTCTTCCAATTTCAGGTTTAAAAAAAAAAAAAAAATTTATTTTATTTGCCACGTGGCAGACATTCGGCAGCCACATGACATATATGTGGCAGCTACGTCAGCATTTAACAGATCCATGGATGGAAAATGTAACGGTAGTATGAAATTGAAATAAATAGTATTTGAGGTATGAAAGTGAAAAGTTTTAAAAATATTATATAATATTGCAATAGATCTCAAACCTGAAAGGTTACTATGTAATTTACCCTTAATAAAAATATAGAAGAAATAAAAATGAATGTGGATAGTGACGTTGGTAATTAAGGTTCTATCAATACGTATATTTTTAACCATTTATTTTATATTTAGTTTAGGAAGGGGACATCATCATTAAAGTTAAAAGAGGAAAGATTAAAGGAGGTGACTTTAAAATTCCGCGCATTCATAGCTCCCATCACCAGAAAATCCAAAATCCAAGTACAAATCCAACACAATTTTGACAAATTCGAAAACCCAATTTCTTAACCCACTCACCCAAATTTAGCACCCGGTTTTCGAATTTTCTTATTTATCCAATCATCCAATTCCTAATTCTACTGAATTTTCCGATTCCTTGGTGCACCTGTCTCTGTCCACCCACCAAGATCAATTTCCATCTCTCTCCTTCCACTTCCTTCCCACCTCTCTCAGGTACTTTTTAATTTGAAAATCTATGTATCTGTAATTTTGTTTCTGAAATTTATTTGCTTTCTGCAGTGTTTTTGAATCTTCTGATTGCTTCAGGATTGAATTGTATCTGCAAAAGGAGTTTTATTTTTTATTTATTTGCTTCTTTTTTTTCTGGTGATGGGTTTTATTCCATGAACATTCTGATTGCTGCAAATTTGAATTTTGCAATTGGGTTTTGTTTTTGAACCTTTTGGATGTTCCAAGATTTGATTTTTGCAAAAGGGTCTGTCTAATTACATTGGTTTATGTGTTTTCCAGGTTGATCTTCCTATTAATCCTTTTATTTTTGAAAAATTAGGATAGCTGCGTATTTTCCTTACCCAAATTATGGTGTTTTAGTTTTTAAAATGTTTTGGATTAACTGACTTGACCTTCACTTTTCTGTGAATTTTTCTGTTGGTTGATATGCCTTTCTTCCTCACCATACTAGAGAAAGGGTGAGGAACAAAAAAGATGGTTGCTTTCTTAATAGATGTGGGGGATTTGTATCTAAAAATATCTCTTTGGTGTGACTTTATAATCTTAAGTACCTTCTGAAATTTTCTATGTTTCCTTATTTTTCAAGTCATGGGATTATATAGCTGCATTTGGTTAGGTGCTACGATCTTTCGCAGGAAACATGACGGTGACTTAATTGATTTACTTTAAATGTATGAACTTGTACCACTAAACTGATCAACATGGATTGCTTATGTTTTGCGCTTTAGTTAATTTGGCTAGTGAATTTGTTTAGATAGCTCTCTTCAGTTGTAGCGTTTTCTCTTGTCGATATTGTTGTTCAAAACTTGAACATTATTGTATTCTATTTCGCAGGTGAAGAATATAACCGTAAGTTAAACCAAAACCAGAAAAGGCATCCGACATTGTTAAATAGAAGAGGGAGGGTACCAGTCCGCAGAGGCAGTGGGACTTCTGCGAGCTTTGTGTCCTCTCTTGTACTTGTCAAAGTACAGTTATTGCTCCTAGCGTTCTATTGATTAATGCACAAGTGGAACTTGATTGGTTTCGGTTGATGAGAGTGTGGAATTGTTGCGGAGACTTATTTTGAAGCTGGCACAATGGGTTCTGTATGTTGTTGTTTGAATTCTGAGGATTTTGAAGATTATGTGAATCCGAACAGTTCTGCATATAGGGACTGTGCCTGTCTTAATTGCTTTCTTCAGAACTTTCTAAATGTGGTATGCCTTTGTCATCCTCATTACTGAACTAATTCTTCTTCTTTTTTGTCCTTATGTGTTTTCCAAGTTCCATATGTTTAGAATGCATAATACATTCAACATTAGTATTTTTGTTTATCTGTAATTATGCTGGAGACAGTGCTGCTTTTGTGCCCTCACTTATCTGCTATTGCATTGGCAACCCTGTGAATATTTTGCTGGAGCAAACGAAAAACCGTTTTTCTAATTTACTTTTGATTTTCAATTAGGCAGTTGCTCACTGTTAGAAGTTTTGAAGCTTATAAAAACTAAAATGGATGATTATTAAGATATTTATATTGATGATAAAAACTTTCTTCAAGATGGAAGTATAACCTGTTATCTTCCCATATTTTGCAGTATACATCACTATTCAGAAGAGGGGAAGTGCATTCGATCCCCTCATCCATTCAGGGGGCTGCATCAATGAATTCCTCAGCATCACTTGACAACTCCTTATCTGACATGTATCGTTCGCCTCCAAGGCCCTTGCCTTATGATGCTGACCCCAGATACATTCGCTTGCAGCGCGATGGGTTGATTTCTAGGCGGGAGAAGGGCTCAAGTCACTCTCATGAGGAGGCTGAACCTCTAAGAAGTGATACCGATGCAGATTCTGAAAGTTTGAGTACAGGAGAAAAATGGAATGGCTCTACTTGTGAAGATGGGTCAAAAGAACATCGTTCCAAGTCCTCAATGAAATTCTCATCGGCCAAAGCTACAACTGGAATTGGGAACTTCTATTCATCATCAGAGGACGAGGATGTTTGTCCAACATGTCTTGAAGGTAATTTTTCTTTGACCGGTGTTTGTCCTTCTTCCTCAATCTGTAGTAGCAGAGTTTCTTCATGTTGACTTTTTTGTGGATCTGATGGTCATTTCCACTTGAAAGTACACAAACATGAATGATGACGGTCCTATTTGGACTCTGTTAATTGCACGTGTTTGCTTACCAAATTGAATCAACTCAATTACATACGTAAATGGTACATTTTCATGTTGCCTTTGCTCTGCTCCCCTAGAAATTGCGCTCCAATAATTTGGCACGAAGATTGGAAAGAGACTTAAACACACTTAAGTGGATTTGCAATATTTGTTGCAATGTTGATTGGTTTATGATTCTGGAAAGTGTACCCTTATGGTATATAACTTCTGATATCTAAATTCTCATGTTTTTTCTGTTGCCATTTATGCAGAATACACACACGAAAACCCAAAAATAATAACAAAATGCTCTCATCATTTTCACCTTGGTTGTATATATGAATGGATGGAGAGAAGTGAAAGCTGTCCTGTTTGTGGCAAGGTAACATTTTCTTTCATAATGATGATAATCTGTAGGTAGCGACGGCTTTTAGTTTTCAACTCCAGTCAAGTATTTGTGTTACATATGTTATAGGAAAATTCCACCATCGCCGATATATTGCTATGCATGTTTTAACTATTTATTTTTGGTCCTGAAGTACTCGAATATCCTTCTCCCTCACCAACACACATGGACTCGAGCTGCTCGATCAAGCAATTTGGTTTTGTACTGTCGATTATATGCTGCATATTCATATGGTCAATTAAAAAATTAGAAGTCAATCCTAAAGTTATTTCTCTAAGCTTTTCATCTGATATGACAAATAGTTATAAAGCAAGTTGCTTTTCTCCTGCAACCTGTATTTTGACCGTGGATTTATATGTTTCGCTTTGTAGGTGATGGTATTCGATGAAACGACTTAATCGCGATCGAAAAGGTTTGCGTCGTTGATGAATCCAACAACTTCGGAAGAGAGAGAACACCAAGGAAGTGATTTTCATTGTGAATACCACATGTCGAAAAGTGTCAATTGATGGTACATATAAACTTGATTTCTGAGAACTTGTGAGTAAATATTCATTCCATATGAGTTCTTGCTTTACTGTGGTCATTGAGCAGTAATTGTCTTCTGTGGAGTAGAAGGTTAAATTATGATTTAACTTTTCACTTCTTTCTCCCTTAATGGCATCTCTTAAATCTCACATCAGATTAGAAAGACCGAACAACATTAGCCTAATTATATATCGGGAATTGTTACTAGCGCTCCAAAATACTTAATGCAGATGAATGTTTTCATATCGGATAAAATTAAAAGCGGGATAAATAAGGATACATATTGGGATAGTTATATGCAGAAATATTTGACATGTTATTAGACTGTAAATCAAGATCGCACATTCACATGTGATTTCGCTTGATTAGCAATTGTCATTAACACCACTAATACAACATACAAAATTGTTGAACAAAAGAAAATTGATCAGCATTTAAAACATGTTTCCAAGGTTGCGTATTCTTGTTGGAGCTACATAGTGAATGCTTCGAGATGTGAAGTTGTATCATTTTGTGGCTGATTCGAAAGCAGCCAGAAAGACCTTAGTTGGCGGAGCACCACTCAACTCTTCCTTTCCAATAATCTGCCCCAAAAAATTACCGAAATGGTTATCAAACGAGTTATACATTTTTACGGGATGTGAAGTTTTCATCACCCACGACAAAACATTCATCTATTTCTCTCTCATGACGCAATGGTTTTGTGACGAGAGACATAGGAAGGAAATGATATATCTCTGGTCGTATGACAAAATATCTCGAAGAACAGACCTCGTTGAGCACATTGCAGAAAAAAATCCTTGCAATCAAATTGCAAATACCTTTTACCTCCTAAGTCATAAAAAATAAAAATAAAAGGATCTCAAAACTAAGTTTCTACCTCTCCCCAATGTGTTCCCCCTCTGTGAAGTATCCAAGACAAATCTCATCGACAAGATCATGTTGCTTATCATGATCTTGTTGCCCACCAAAACATATAAGCTTGTGACTGTCTAAAGTATTTCCTCTGCACTTGTTTTAGACGATTCAGATCACTGAAATACAATTTATAGGGTGCCCCTTGAGGGTGTACTTCAAATAAACTAGGGTTCCCTCCTCCCTCTTTTTATATATTTATGCATTGAGATTTCTCGGTGCTTGACTTCTTACATTTGAGACGTGACTTGAACACTTCGGACACATCTTTGCCGAGCTTTTTCGCATAATACTCTTGTGAGTGCCTATTTAAGGCGCATCGCGATCGAGTTGATACCGACGCCACCGGAGCTCGAACTCGTATCGATCGTTACCTGCCACCAGAGGTCCAGAGCTTTGTCCAGATTTCTTTTAGCCACAAAGCACCACGGACACAGAGTGTCTGCAACTACATCAATTTCAACAGGCTTTTTCCTTCTAGCCATGTTTAATATTGATTGAAACGTGCATGCAAAAGATGGATGAAACAAATGAATCAAAGGGTACGGGGATTTGATGATGTTTTTGTTTCAAAGTTGTTCATGAAAACTGCCACGTGGCGTAGTGGGTTTCGGACAACCTTGTGGACTTTCGCACGTTTGAGAGTTTTACAACCTACCACGTAGCTCACATGCCTTTTTAAGTTTGAGTTTTCATGTAAACAAAATTTTGACCTAGCTAGTATATTTTGGCATGATTAGTAGTTCTCATCTGATGAAATGGAAATATAACTCCACAAGCGACTTGTAGCTCAAGCGTTTAAAACATGTAATCTTTTGGCCGAGTATTTGTTTCGATTCCTCTTCCTTGATATCATCTGTATGAAGAAAAAAAGGCCCAAATAATGTTTTTCAAACGACTTTCAAAGTTTGTCTATTGATATAGATGTGGGCGTTGCAGACTTGCAGTTGTTGTAATTTTTCTAACAAAAAAAATTGTCAAAATTCAAGCATTTTAATCTTACTAGCGACATGATTCGTGAAAACACCGCGATCTGTAACCAAGAACAAAATAAAGGAATAAGAGAAAACCGGGTGTCACATGGATAGACATATATAAACAAACCATTGCCACCATTGGCATTATTACATCATGTGAAAAATAAGGTTCACGATTCACACTCAAACATGATGAAAATTACTCATATGTATTGAAAATATATTTCCAAGGTTGGATTCTTATTGGAGATGGAGAGCGAAAGCTCGTATATGTAAGGTTCCATCACTTTGTGGCTGCTTCAAAAGCTCTCAAGAACACCTCGGGCGGTTGACCGCCACTTAACGCAAGCTTTCCATTGTTAAACTGTCGAAAGAACCAAAGGATTCATAAGTATAGCATCTATTAAGCTAATCCAACAAGAGTTCCATATTCATATATGTGAGTTTTCATCACTCACCAAAAATGTGGGACTCCATTGATGTTTCTTGTGTACTTCTCGAGCTCTTCATTGACCTTCATTTTATCATAACGAGCAACATCAGATATATCGAAAATACAGAAGGTTGTTTCTAATTCTAGTCAGATTTACTCTCCAGGTACATAAATACAGAATCTTGTAAGTTGAATCAGTCGATCTTCGAATCTACATTCTGTTCTCATTTGTTAACTTGGCAAATAATACCAACACGAAGGAATCAGTAGACAAACCTCATTGAGCCCATTGTTGGGGTCTTCAAGAAACTCTGCTGCCCCTTCTACTCCAACCTTTTGAGCACTTTCCAGAAGAAATTCCCTGTATCCAAATTGCAAATATTTGAATTGTGCCTCTTAAATTCAGATTTAAGGATGTAAAAGCATTTACTTCTACATCGTTTGTTCTCCCATAAAAACTGCTTATCTTGTTCATCTTAGAATGAAAGGGGTTCACAACATTTAACGCGTATCACAAAGTATACAAGAGAAGAAATCACTAAATACAACCCTTAAGGCATACAGATGTGAAGTCATGAAAAACTGGTCCGAAACTTTGCTCAATTACCTGTCCCCGATGTATTTTGCCTGTGTGAAGTATCCAAGAAATAGTTCAGCCACAAGAGCGTGTTGCTTATCATGCCCTTGAAGCCCAGCAAAATAGATAAGCCTGTGGCTATCTAGAGTACTTCCACTGTACAATTTCGACACGATGTTAATAACATAATACCTAAACTGCAATCCAAGTTCTAACAAAAGCTTTTCCGGGCTTTCCCTCCATTACGAATTTGGAATCAGCGAAACAATGGAAAAGGACAAAAAAGAAGTATCCTTTACACTTACGTGAGCCCGGACAGGTTATATTCCAGGCCGTGGCTTCGGAAAATCTGCAATTGTCAAAGGGGACAGTGAGTGACTGGATTGACTAAACATGTATTTCAGTGTTCTGTATGTACAGGTGATTCATAGAATAGAATTGCAGCGATACCTCTGCCATCCGAGCCTCCATTTGTTTCGACCTATTAGTCCCAAATTTTTCCTCATAATAACTTCTCTTATCAACGCCTTCTTTAGGCGCATTGGGATTAAGTTGGAATGGATGCCATCTAACCTGAAAAGTTCATATACAGTGACAACAATTTAGGATGGAATCATGGCACAGCACAAAGCCAACAACTTGGGTCCGTTTGGTACTTCTTTTGCAGGATGCGCTTATGCTCATAAGCGCTTTCACTATAAGTGGTTTTACTAGAAACACAAACACGCTAAAATTTTTATCAAAAATATCAAGTGCGTCTGCTAGAAAGCGCTCCTACGACCTAGAAATACTTTTATGTTTTCCTACCAAACGTGGTTAGAAGAGCTTCTGGTTGTCAAAAACAGCTTTTAAACAAAAGCAACAACAACAACAACATCAACATGGTGAAGGAAAAAAAACAACAGCATCAACATCAACAACAACAACAAACAACACAAGGAAAAACAGAGAACCTCAAAGTCGAATCGATCACGAGATGCCTCAAAAGCTTTTTCAAGATTTCTCTTGCCCACAAAGCACCACGGGCACACCGTATCCGACACGATGTCAATTTGAATGAGCTTCTTCCCAGCCGACACACCAGCCATGTTTCTATTTCTGCACGAAATCAAACACAAACAACACAAAATTAACGGCAGTAACCAGTAAGAACAATTCCCGCCGGCAATTTTGACATCAAAAGTCACCCAATTAACTCAGATTTCATATCATTTTTAACAGTTTTAACATCAACCAACACATCCATACAAATTAAAATACAACGATTGACGAAACATATGAATCTAATAAATTAGAACGATTTGATGCCTTCATTCGAAGTTGCGAAGTACTTACGTTACCTGTCTGCCTGTAAAGACTGTAATTTTATCAAAAGCTTGCGTCTTTGGAGAAGGAGAAGGCAATTGCACTCGCACGTCGGGGCTTTATGGATGCCCTGCCGACGTTTTCAACTTCTTCCACCGCCTTTTTTCTTCAGGCTTCACCAACCGCACCCACGCCACGCACCTTAAAAGTCAAGGAGAGCTAATCTCGATTCTCGAGTGGCACATTTGACCAAAAAATTAGAAGGGAAAATGCATAATAGGAATACTTATTTTCCCCCTCTAAAGTCTTTTCCAGTAAAAACTTATACGAAACGAGTACATAGTATTGTGGCCATAAAATAAATGTGTAAGTTTTTTATTCAAATGTCTTTGTTTTATTGGCAAAAGACTTTACATGATGATTCTAGGTGGAAATGCCACGTACGTATTTGACATCAAAAACTTTTCTAACCGAAGTGTTGTTTACTGACTGAATTTGAAACCTTTGTGATTAGATGTCAAATTTGACAATAGCGTCAAATTTATTTTTTATTACCATATCAACCATCCATTATAATCTGATTATAATAATTTTGACATTTCCATTGAAGATAGTCGTCTAAGTTGTTTTTTTCAAATAAACGACACATGACAAAAAGGGACGAAACTTTAGAGTGAAATTTCAAAAATTACTAATTGTTGATACATAAATTTTTGGTGGAAAAGGAGGAGGGGGGGGGGGGTTTGAAATTTTCATTGATTTAGAAGGCCGCTGCGTGCGTGTGACACGCATGAGGGCCTCAGCCACTCGACCCGACCCGACTCCGCCTCCGGAGTTCTCGGAACACAATATATTTACCTCTTTACATTTCTCCAACGACTAACGGCAACCATTTTTCAGTTTCTCCCTTCTTTCTTCCTCTTCCCACTTTGACTCTTCTAGGTATCTCTCTCTCTCTCTCTCTCTCTCTGTGTTTGGATGCCGAGAAAATCCCAATTCTCCACTTTCTCCTTCAATTGGATTAAAATTTGTTAACTTTTTGTTAAATTCGTTGGCTTGTAAGTTGTAACTTTGTGGTTCAATTTGTGAAGGGCATTCATGGAAATGGAAATTGATGATCTTCTGGGTCGCAACCGGCCGGTGAGTATTCCGACGAAGAGTGCGATTTACGTGTGGGGTTACAACCAGTCCGGGCAGACGGGTCGGAACGGGAAGGAGGGGCAGTTGAGGATTCCGAAACAGCTCTCGCCGGAGCTTTTTGGATGCACGGCTGGGGCTAATTCGCGGTGGCTGGACATTGCTTGCGGCCGCGAGCACACCGCCGCTGTTGCCTCCGATGGGTCGCTTTTCACTTGGGGTAATTAAGCTTTCATCTTTTTGTTTTATTGTCTTAATTTTTTTTTAAAATTTCCATTTTTGAATTGTTTGGTATGGTTTTTTGTGATAACGATCTTTCCATTTATGAGTTCAATCATTTCCTTTGTGGGAAGGGACGATTTCCTGTCTTAAATCGCCATCTTTTGGTTTGGAAAATGGTTGGTTACAAAGATGGGGACTAGCCATTTGTTTGCGGTAGCTGATAGAGTAAATATGTATTATATTTGGTTTATGTGCACTTTGGATAACCTGGATGTGTAAGCAATTGACCAGGAGCTAATGACTTCGGCCAATTGGGAGATGGAACGGAGGAGCGAAGAAAAAATCCGAAGAAAGTGAAGCAATTACAGACAGAGTTTGTGAAATCTGTGTCTTGTGGAGCACATTGTACCGCAGCTATTGCAGAACCTCGTGAAAATGATGGAACCGTCTCAACAAGAAGGCTTTGGGTGTGGGGGCAAAATCAGGTCCTACTATGAATTTCTGTACCTTCATTCCTACTTCATTCCCTTTTGGCAGATATAATAATTTGTTTAACCTTTTCCCCTACTTCTCATACAGGGATCGAATTCTCCACGTTTGTTTTGGGGAGTCTTTACTCCAAACACGGTATGCTACACTTCCTATTCATTATGCTTTTCTTTTTAGGTTGGAATTGTTCGGTATTAGAATTACTATTTTGTTTGGATAGTCGATTTACAAATGACTCGGTATGAGCTCATCAACTTTCAGTTGTGGCTAAAATCATTTTCTTTTATCAGGTAAATTAGTTCTATTAAGAAAAAGTTGGGGCATTAATTTTAATAACCTTGATTTTTGGCATTACCTGGGTTGGTTGATGAACAACTACTAGGGTTTTTTGCCACTGCAGGCAATGCATTTAAAAGTGAGACCTAGTCTTAGATCACAACTCGAAAGCCTGCAAGAAGATAGATATGAATACCTGTCGTATCAAATGCTTAACTAAAGGAACACTATATAATGGAATCGGAATTCTTTTATTAGAGTAGAGTGGATGGTTATCAAATTTAATACCTTCTACTTACTAAAAAGTCTTTCACAGATTATCCGTCAAGTGTCTTGTGGGGCAGTTCATGTGATCGCTTTATCAGAGGATGGCATGCTACAAGCGTGGGGTAAATGCATATTCCAGTCTTTAGTTTCTGATAATGTCTTACTGTTTTTTTTAAAGCAGCTTCAAGGTACATATGTTAGAGCTGAATCCTATTCTAGCGAAATTTTGCTAGAGTTACATATCCCATAGAAACTGAAAGAAACCTTAAATTCATCTTCTCCCACCTCTAATTAATCAAACTTTAATACTGTGATGATACACCAGGATATAATGAATATGGTCAGCTTGGCAGAGGATTTACATGTGACGGATTACAGGGGGCTCGTATAATAAATGCATATGCGAAGTTCCTAGATGAAGCCCCTGAGCTTGTGAAGATTACCCAAGTGTCATGCGGGGAGTACCACTCAGCAGCTATATCTGAAAAAGGCGAGGTGTAAGTGATCTGAGGAATTCTTAGATGGAGATTAGGTTCTATAGTTAAGCTAAAGCATTGTGGTTATCCGCATGGCACATTTAACTCAGAAGGTTTGCGAAAATCTTCGTATAGGAATCTCACATTTGAAAGGAGACAGGATGCCTAGAATACTGGATTACATTTATATTTGTGTTTTAATCTGTGATTGGAGTTGTGTCTTCAGAATTTTTTTTACCTCAGTTGTTTTACTAACCAAGGTTCTAGATAAAGAGGTTACTCTGATATTGATACATGTCATGAACTGATATTTCAATTATACTCATGTACTCTTTATCTGTTATGTAGTCTTCCCATCGAGTAAGTCATTTTCTGTTCATTTGTTTGTTTAACTTTGGTTTCTTTGCGGAATTCTTCTTCACAATAATTTTATTTGGCACTCGTAGGTATACTTGGGGGCTAGGAAACATGGGTCAACTTGGGCATTCTTCCCTTCAATCTGGGGAGAAAGAGTTATTGCCTAGGCGAGTGGTCGCACTTGATGGAATAGTCATAAAGGATGTTGCATGTGGTGGCGTACATACATGTGCTGTGACTCAGAAGGGAGCTCTTTATGCTTGGGGTGGTGGTCGAGCAGGGCAGTTAGGCCTTGGCCCTGAAACGGGATTATTTTCATGCAACCCTAATGAATCTCAGTCTTTTTTCCGTAACATTCCTGCATTGGTTGTTCCAACTAGTGTGCAACTCATTGCATGCGGACACTCCCACACACTTATCTCTACAAGGGATGGAAGAATCCATGGATGGGGCTACAATAGCTATGGTCAGGCATCTAACGAGAAATCAACTTATGCTTGGTATCCATCCCCGGTTGATTGGTACGGTACAGATAAATTGTTCATGATCAGGTTTTTCGTGGCTTTCTTGATTGATACATTGATTGAAGTTTGCATCACACAGGTGCGTTGGGGAAGTGCGAAAACTTGCAGCTGGTGGTGGCCATTCAGCCGTGTTGACTGATGCATGTTCCTTGAAGGAATTGTGTGAATTTAATCTTGCAGATAGTGTTAATCTAAAGAATGCTTCTACAATTGAAGACATTGCGTCTAGAACAGGTTCAGATGCTTTGGCACGGCTTTGTGAAAGATTAAGGTATGGATTTCTTTTCATGGCTGGTCCAAAGGTCAACAAATTTAACCTTCTTCCACGATCTGATTCCATAATTATATATTGATCGTTTATCTGCCTTGGTAAAAATAGGATAAAATATTTTAGAACTCTGTTTGAATCGCTTTGAAAATGTTAAGAAATAATGGTAAATTTGTTACAATTAGAATTACAGGGACAAGATTGGAATCAGGTTTAGACTATGGTAACAAAAAGTGTAATTTAGCTTCTTTTTTTATGGAGTTATTTTAATAAAAGGGAAGAGTGGAGAGAGGTCAGAACATATGTCATACAGTCAATAGGAAATAGAAACACAGGAACTGAAACTACCTCGTAAGAGTTCTCTAGTTCATAGAGGCGTGCGTTTCCTCCTTAGAGCGTTCTATTTGTTGATCACATAATATTCCATTAACTGGTAATGTACTTGGAGCTTTGCACCGTTGGTTTTGAAATGCTTCTTTTCCCGTGTTCTTTATTTTTATCTATGATGAAGATGCCAATATATTCGTTTCTTTTTTCTGCAGGCAGCATGTCCTCGAGGGTGGCGACTGTGAATTTGAAGACAATTAGGCCAGCGGTTATACCAAGTGAAGAAACAATTGGATTAGATTTAAAACTGACATCCATTATGTCAATTTGTGTCAATGTAATCACTTTATTTCCAATCTGGTTATGAATTAGGTATTCGGAGTTGTCGTAATCAGATTGTGAAGGGGTTAAACCCTTTGAATTTATGTCAAACTGCTATAATTTGTAACCACAACTAAGAAGTACGGAGTTAGTTGTGTCAAGAACCATCATATTGAGATGTTGAATTTGTTTATGTAACTGTTCACTATTAGTTGTATAAAAAACATGAAATAGACTTGATTAATGACCATACGGGAAGATTTCTCACTATAAGCTACTAAATAATCTTATGTTCATGCTGGAAATTACGTTTTAACTTCTGTCTGTATCGACATCAACGACATGCTAATAATATGGCACATATGATTGTTAGGTTTTCGATGTGGGACTTTACATACTTGTATCGTATGTGAACCTCAAAATTCCTTTCAAGATGATTAGAATAGTACAAGACTGAAGAAACATTGTTTTTCTTATTCTTTAATTATAATAACAAAAAGCACATTAACAGTAGATGTAAATTAAATGTTTGATTAGTGGTATGCATCTTGGAACATTCCCACAACCCAAAACATTGGAATTTTATTT